AGTATTTGTTACGCCCCCCCCCTCCCCACCCCACTTGTTCGACTGAATTCCTCGGTTTCTGAAGACAAATTCCCATTTTGTCACATTTCTGAGGCGCTGAATGAGCACCCATTGGTCTGGTTTGCTAACACTGGCATTTTTAAGCCAGCTCCTAAAAACGGCAATATCAATTTACCATCGACACAATCATCCAATAAAAATGTTCGATTTGAATGACACTGTCATTTTACTCACACAACCATAAATGGAGTCAAAGTCGGGCATAAAACGCGAATAAGTCAACAAAATTTGGTTGATAGATACGCGTCACACTTTTAGGTTTTTATCTATCGAAACCTTAATATATTTTGTAATAATGCTATTATTTCTGAGAAATCAGTATTTATTTCAAATTTTTGTTCCTACGTTATATCATCCCAGCGATAATTTTTAATTAAAAATGAGGAAGTTCTGTACCAAAGTTCAATTTTATTATTTGATTCCATTCAATTATGAGGGTTAGTGTGCTAAATCGTGTTCAAGCCCTTGGACTATGCGATTATAATTGATCTACTTTCATATGACCTTGAAATTATTTTGACAGGCTTTCGGAGGTTAAATATTCAAATGCACGTTCGTTGCATTGTGTATATTTTACTCGCTTTGAATGTAATTGGAAATAATTGAATTTAACCAAGTTACGGCCCTGTTATATTGAACATTTCCATGTATTGGGAGAAAAGTAGAGTGACCAATCGAACTGGGTAGGAATATATTGAAGGTAATAGAAAGTGATATCGATCTCCACAGGGTGAACTTTAGAAATGTCTTCAATTGGGTCAGGGTTTATCCTTTTTAAAATTATGGAAAGTAGTACAAGTTATCGTTGGTCCCCAGTAATGATGAGCTAAAAAAGCATAATTTTGACTATTAAATCACTAAACTGAGCATAATTTAGGTTTTTTAACGTCATAACAGCGTCAGTTCTGCCTTCTTTTACAGTTTTCACTATTGAATAAATTCCCATCTCATAACACAAGAAGTACTCTTCATTGATAATATGCGAGGTAGAGTAGATTGAGGATTGAGGATTGGGTATTCGTGCCGTCCTGTCATAAGTTAATCAAATGGAAAGTCTGGGTGGTATGTTGGTTATGGCAATTATTTACTTCAAATGGTAGGCGTTTTGATAGTTATCATTAGCCATTTAGTTGACTTCAGGCTTCACAGAGAAAAGGAGGAACATCAAAGTGACAAAAAGTCGAGAGGGCGGACAGAATAATGAGTCACAGATGTGACAGAGACAGACAGACAGACAAAAGAGCAGAGTAAAGGTAAGATGAGTACTGTGTAAAGGGTCAAATACGACATACAGTGGGGTCATGGTAGTTTAAAGTGAGAAGTCAACTGCCCGTTAATAGACTTTTTGCCGTATGAGTATACGTTGCCCAGGGTGCACCACGTAGAGGTAAGTCTATCGCGCACCCCGGTTATGGTAATTATAAATTTAGTTAAAATAATTCATCATCCCAGTGTCGTAAAGCATCCATCACGACGTAATGCAGCTTATTGTTTTGCTGGTACCACTGTGATAGTAATTATTTACACCGTCACTTCTATCTTAAGCGCACATTGTGAGTGGATTTAACTCTCAAAGTTACCGAGAATAAATTTTAAACTGTGATTCAGCAATCAGGTCTTGCGGAATTCCTTTTGCACTGTTTAATCTATTTACGTGCGCAACAAAGTGAAAGGTGCATCGAAAGATCCAGTTAGAACCCGATTATATTGGAAACCCAGGCAATATTTTTTCCCGTTGTACTACCGTGTGCAGGTGGACAAGGGACAAGGCAGACTTTCGTTGAAAGATTGCACAGGAGCTATTCCTTATATTCATAATTGGGGTGTGAGATAGACTTACCTCCACGTGGTGCGCCCTGGGCAACGTATATTCATACGGCAAAAAAGTCTATTGACTGGCAGTTGACTTGCCACTTCAAACTACCATGGCCCGACTGCTTGTCATATTCGGTCCCTTGCACAGTACTCAGCTTACCTTTTTCTCTACCTTTGTGTCTGTCTGCCTCTTTTACATCTGTGAATCGCTCTTCTGTTCCCCATCCCTCGACTTTTTTCTACTTTGATAAACCTTCCTACTGTGAAGCCCTAAGCCAGCTAAATGGCTAATTATAGCTATCAAAACGCCTGCCATTTGAAATAAATAAATACTTTGAGAGGGAACGAGTTAAAGTAAATATCAGCTCCTAAATCCTACCATTTTTAAGGCTAAGTAGAGAGAAGATAGGACTTTCCCAAATTGAGGGTGCGCGATAGACTTACCTCCACTTGGTGCACCCTAGGCAACGTATACTCATAAGGCAAAAATGTCTAAAAATCGGTAGTTGACTTCTGACTTCAAACTACCATCACCTCACTGTATGCCATATTCTACTACTTCCATAGTACGCATCTCACCTTTTTCCCACCTGTGTATATCTCTTTTATATTTTTGAAACGTTCTTCTATTCCCACCCCATTCTCGACTTTTTTCACATTGATGTTCATTCCCTCTGTGAAGCCTGAAATCAATTAAAGGGCTAATGATAACCATCAAAACGCCTACCATTTTATATAAATAAAATACGATGAATTAAGACGTCAAAGATGATCGATGCCAACCCGGAATGCGATAAAGCCCGTGTTATCAATGAGCAGCTAACCAATATCATCAAATGATCGATAAGGGATGGACATTATCTGCTATTGCAACTAAGGACTATGGTTTTTTACGAACTAATAGCCTTACCATGTTACTATTGATATATGCGCCCTTAATAAGACCAAGGATAAGAAGACATGACATTGACACAAGCAATTTTTTAATAACATTTCCGAAAGCATTTTTGTTGATGTAGCATCCAATAAAGAGCAGACCGATCAATGCGAAGACGAACTATTTCCATAACTTCCACCAAATTAGTAAGCATTGAATAATCGGAGCAAGCAGCATAAGATATAATCCGAAATGAAGTAGCTCGTTATTTATCAGGGGAAAATTAAAAAAACGGCAAAAATTAACAAAACAATTCTATGCTATCAGACGGTTATGAACTATGATTTAGTAGATGAAAAGCCATGACTAGCCAAGTACTACCTAGAAATCTGACTAAATCAGGCAGCTTAGAGGATAATGTACTGAAAATAAGACAGCAAAAATAAGGAGACAAGAAAGAAGAAACAATATGAATAAAAGCCCACAAAGAACTACAACAAAAGTTCGCCATCGTTTGAGAAAATGCCAAATTCAAAAACATTCCTCAAAAATAAACATTTGGAACACGACTCTGCGCAACAAAAAAAAATAAATACAAGAGCCGCATAGATGATTGAAAACCACTAAGTTAAATAAAAAACCGTAACCCCTGTTAAAACATGCGAAAGACCGTCAACGCCCAGTATAACGCCAAGTTATAATTATACTTCCATAAATACATATATTTCACATTTTATTTAACGACGTCGTCTCATTTGAACTGTGTTATTGCGTCTCCAAGCCGCATGACGTGAACCACCAATAGTCTTGCTGTAGCCATATCCCTTTCCAAGTCCACGAGACTTCTTGGTAGCCGAGGTAAGACCGCGCATTTCACGATGCTTTTGGTTAGCCTT